CTTAGACACAATTAGTTTTCCAACTCTTCAACATGCAGGAAATAGAAGCACAGAACAGGTTTTGTCTATTTTGACACGGCAGCAACAAATGTGAAAATGTTCATGCAAACCTTCACTTACTTGAGATGGATTATTTAATTCAGTAATTGAATAATACTATCTATAAAATGCTTAATTCAGAAATGTTATTAAATATCTAGTTAACGGATGGCTTACCCTGTGCACACCGTATGTAATCATGTGATGACTGGTGGCAATGGCCATTTATATTGTACTAAGACCTATTCTTTCAAGATAAAGACTTGTCAATTTGTCATTTATTTTAATAAAGAAAAAAACTGTATTTTCTTTATTATGAGTTTCTTTATACCACTCTGTATTTAAACAGTTAAAAAGTTCAGTAAAGATCTGTGCTATTATGTGTGACAGTCTAATTTGTGTAAATTGAAAGCAATATTGACATGTGACATTTTCCGCAGATACGCCCATAACATGAACAGTATCCAATAAATGGAAATATTTATTTTTCAGAAGATTACCAGAAGTTTATAATGAACGACATTCAGGGACCTCCTATCTGGACCCATGGAGAGAAGGTCATTCTCTATTGTACGGCTTCTGATTGCTCTGAGAATGCCAACGTTTTCTGGATTATAAAAGAGAATGATGGTACATTACATGAAATGTGTGATACATCGATACAGCAGTCGGGGAAACCAGAATATGTGGCTTTTAGAGATAGCACGGAGGAGACAGACAAAGAAGGTTTTTATAATATAACCAGCTCTCTGACTCTGATACCATCTGTCCTGAAACACTCAGAGGTGATCATCAAATGCAGGATTGTCTGTGAAAGGAAAATGAAAGAAAAAACCTTTAAACTCCAATCTATTAATGGTAAATAAAACACACAAATCTAATAATTCAAATCCTCTGTTATCCTTTAGCTAAGTAGGGGAGCGCTAGAGTGGAACAGGTATAGGCAGCAATCAACCAATTAAGGAGAGGATCACTCTACCTTCACTAGGATATCACAATTCACAGATAAGATTGAGAAAGGTGGAAGTTGTGCCAAAAAAAGGCAGGAAATGCATTTGTGAATGTGCGTGTGTGTATATATATATTGAATCTTGGATGCGCTCTCATCGTTTTATCTGTAAACTCCATAATTTGTGTAAGTTTGCCATAAATTCTCATAAAATAAAAAATATGACAAGCAGACTGGACATGTAGTAGTTGGTGAATTGGCATGGGGCACTGTTTGAGTGAAAACATGTTGAGCTAAAATATGACTCTCTTGGTCTCCGCTCTGCTTCAGCACCATCAAAGAAATTAAATATTTGTGAAACTAACATTGCACTGGCTTACCTATCCTTTATCACTGGCGGTGTGTTGTCAGTGCTTTCTGTATCATTGCTCCCTCAATGTTCTGTTTATTACAAGAGTACTTATTATGGAGGTGATCAGCAGTCTGATATAACCACAAGTCGTCTGTTAAAAAACCCTAGAGAGTCTAGTGAATCATTACCCCAGTGATCAATGTCATGGAAGACACAGATCTCTGCTTTCTCACACATGTATCCCCAACAGGGAGAGAGGATGTGAGGGAGCCATGAACTTTGTGCATCGTACATTATCCAGTTGCTGGTGCCTCTATATCTGATATCATAATCTTGGGAAAATCTCTATTGATATTGTGTCCCCTTTGCCTACAGCATACAACTGATCTTGTCTAGAATATAGTTTGTATTACTTACAATTACTTTCTATATGGGGGGGCTTGTGAAAATTACTTAAAATTGTGGATTATGCTAGCTTTAGTGTACCTATAATCTTAATTTTATTAATGACAGGAGGCGAAGATTTGCTTAAGTCTCTCTTTACTAGAACTACACAGCAGCACAGAAAAACAACCAATCAGAAAAAAGGAATCCATAAAAGGCTTCTCCCAACCAACTATTTCCTCTTTCACGCTGTGACAAAGTAAAGTACATGAACAATACACAACTACTAAATATAACAGAAGAAAACATAATAATACGATGAATGAGACGATGATAGCCATCCGAATGTAACATGGAGCCAGTGGATTAAATTTTGACCCTAATCCTGAAGAAGATCTGGATTTAAGAAACCTTTCAACTTGAATTTTATCCTACGGAAAATCTTGAACCGGGATCAGTAGATGAACCATTAAACTGAAAAGATATAAACAGAGTCAAAACACCAATTAGTGAATGAAATATACTGTGAATACCTGAGTACCCATCCTCAATTACAGACAGTACAACATTGAATGAAATGTACTGTGAACACTTGAATACCCATCATTGATTAAAAACATGAGTACCCATAAACAATGACAGTACAATATCTCAAAATCATACCCTGACCTCCCTCAGGAAGGCAAATAATTGACATACCTCAACCAGGAACTGGAAAAAAACGGCTATCCCCTAAAAGAGGTCAAGATACCAACAAGGAAACAGGGTAGGGAGAAAACACTGAGATCCTGTCATTAATAAAATTAAGATTATAGTTACACTAAAGCTAGTATAATCTACCATTTTATAACATGACAGGAGGCTTCATATTTGCTGTTTTAATGCTCAGACAGCAACGACCAAAGAAACACGATCCACCGTATCAAACCAAAAGTAGCGAAGATAGCTCATCATAACCGGCAGGAAAGTGTACAATGTTTTGGAGAAATGCGCCCACCATGTCGGTGCCTGAAGTTGCCGTGATACTGACTGAAGTGAACCGAAAAACCTATACGCCTCGCCAATGCCAACCACAACCAAGCGGTACATGAAGGGCGAGAAAAAGGAAAGAACCGTCTAAACAAACGGTGACATCGAATGCAGCCTAAAGGTGGGCGCACAACCAAGATAAGAAATGACCATCGGGTCCGACTAGAGCCGATAGACAACTAAGGCCCGAACCTCCGAACCCATCTGAAAGAAATAATAAAGGAAATAAATCCAGAGTCAGTGAATGGACAAAGACCCGACCTAAACCACAAAAGGAGCACGACAAAAACGCGTGTACCCCCTGGGGAGATGAATACCTGTCCTCAGGAATCGTAAAGGACTCACACCCTATGAAGCCGCACGTCTGCTCGAAGGGAATTCTAAGCAGAACGAGGCCCGCCGAAAAACAGTCGTACATGCTACCTAATCTAAATGATACGACAGTCCCCTGTTAAGAAAGTGATCGAACAATTCTCGAATCCTGAAACAGTGTTTGCAAAAATTAGGTAATCCATACCGGCCCCAACTACGTCAGGGTCGCCATGCAGACAACATCTTCCAGTCCCCGAGATCAAATGGGACAGGTCCAGGGAATCCAGGAACTAGGTTTGACTCTGCTGAAGCGGAGATCATAATACCAAAGAACCAGCAGACCGAGACACCTGTAGAAAGGTCCTGGGACCAAACAACGGAGGAGACTCGTTGGAGGGAAGTGTCCATCACTGAGCAAATGGGTCTGTCAGCCAGCTGAAACTGGTCGGAGCCTGATGGGTCCTCCTCCGTGGACTAAAATCTTGACGCTGGGAAAATTATTGCACACGTACGAGAACTCGGGCAGAGGGAAGCGCAGGGGGCACCCCCTTGCGTCCAATCTGCCCTCCAGGATTCTACTCCTCGAGATGTGGAGAGGGCCGATATTTCCTTGGTTGAAACAAAATCCAGGGACTCGAACCAGGGAAAACGCAGGGAGCGGCTGACCTTTTGGTTTGGGAGGTACCTCGCAGAGGGTCCGGCAAGCCCGCCCAGCGAAACGTCCTATATCGGGGGAAGTGCCGCTTCCGGATCCCAACGCGTGGAAAAATGAGAAGGATCTCTTCAGCTAGTTCTGGTATTCCCGAATGGCTTAAATTCCTCCCAACCTGCCAACCAGGTTTTATTATCGCCCAAAAGAATGATGCACCAGATACTTACCTCACCAGGGAGAAAGTTGAGCCCACCTTACCAGGAATGGACCCTGCTGTCCCTAGAGGTTTCTTGAGGACCGCGTCTAATTCAAAGTAATTAATGGATATACGTTCAATCGTAGACTCGTGCAGGGACTCCAACGGGCTCCATTCCATTTATCCCAAGCACCTTCAGCTGTCCAAATTGCGTTTAAGATAGGCCGTCTGCAATCCCCAGACTCGGGGCCCGTCTGGCATGTCATCCAAAAGTGGAGGCAAATGTGAAATTCCGGGGCCAAGGGTCCAATCCCCTATCAAAGGTATGGGTTGGAGCTGTAGATGTGGAGGAGAACAATCGGCTTGCCAATGCGGACTTAAAAGTAGAGTATAGGCACTACCTATATTTGTTTTAACCAGCAAAGCCGCAGCACCCCATCGGGGTCTAAGTCTGGGTTCGAGGCTACTTCTAAGTCTAATCTTTCCGGGCGTCTGGTTCCGGGCCTTCACCATTACAGTAGCGCTTATGCGCACTTGCCTGCTCTCATCTAGGAGATTCTGACTCATTCAAGTCATCTGCCTTTTTTAAAAGGTGGTCACTGTCGCGTCCGGTGGTCATCGCCTCCCCCGCACCATATAGGCAGTGCCGTCTGGCCGTCGAGGTCGATTGAAGCGGGGCTAGCCGCTCCTTCGGAGTCTTATCTTTCCAGGTGCCTGGTTCAGGGCTTTCCCCTTCCAGTAGCGCTTATGCGCACTTGCCTGCTCTTAGCTAGGAGAGTCTGACTCACTCAAGTCGCCGGCCGTTTAAAAGGTGGGCCCTCTAGCGTTTCATTCTTGATAAGCTTTAGGCAGGACCCTGGCCAGAGCCTAATTCCACGGAGGCGGTCACTGCCATAGTAGTCATTGCCTGCGCTCTTTTCCTGGAAAAGAGTTCTCCCGTGCAGCGGTCCCAGGCAAAGTGACCTCTAGGAGTATAGAGGACAAGTGTCACCGGCAGGAAAATCGGGGCAGCACCCCATATAGTGACCGAGGCAAGTTGGGCAGCGCATGCGATGCACAAGCGTGAGTATATGGCAGTAGGCTTGGCATGCAGACATTCTGGCCCAGACAGCACAGGCCAGGTCAATGGGGCACAGACAAAGCAGGCCAATCAATGGGGCACAGACAGAGCAGGCCAATCAGTAAGGCACAGACCAAGCCGGCCAAATCCTGGGGCACAGACAAGTCAGGATCTTCAGTGATGCACAGGTGATAAACTGCACATTCCATTTTTCCGGTTAAATGTACATTTCGCTCTTCAGATAAGATGTACCTAACACTTCTTCAGATTAATAGCATACAACACACTTCTGTGTAACTGTACATAACCCTCTGCTGTGTAACTGTACATAACGCTCTTCTGTGTATTTGTACATAACATTCTTCTGTGTAACTGTACATAGCATTCCACTGTGTAACTGTAGATGACACTCTTCAGACAACTTGTGCCTAACCCTCTTCAGAGTAACAGGACCTAACACTCTTTAGTGTAACTGTAATTAACACTCTTCTGTGAACTGTGCCATCTCGCTGAAAAATGTAAGCGGGCTGCGCGGCCGAGGGAAGTGCAGATAAGCACAACCTCCACCACCAGACTCATGGCTGACAGAGGAAGGGAGCTAGACAGCTAACAAGAACATAAAATATGAAAAATAAAGACTGCTCAAGTGTAGCGAAGTAGTAGTATTAACCACGGTATCTCCGCTGGTAGACAGAATCAAGCACGCACAAAGCAGGTAAAATCCAGGTAGCGTAGTTACAATCCCTTCCTCCCAAGAACTAGACGACACATAGCTTGGAGGTCAACTGAGGTTTTATTTTCAGGTCACGGTATTTATGGGATTCCCCATGCAAGGGGTTTCCCTACTGACATTTCAGGGGTGGTACAGTAGGGGACTACATGGGGAACTGACCAACACATACATTTTTCCCATCATGCACTGCTGGACGAGAGGGATACTCCCACTGGAATATACCGTTAATGGGATTATCCCTCCGTGCAGCAGAACTTACTTTTTACATTAAAATGTATAACTTTACTAATATTCCGTTGATTTACACGAATGGACATTCGGTAGATAGCTGGAGGCTGAGCGCATAGTTCGTGAGAATACCGCTCAGCTCCCAGTCTAACTAACCGAACGCCACACGAAATACACATTATTTCTAACATATATTTAAAATACCAATTAGTATAAGGGGAACAAACTACTGAACGGCCGGGGCTCCCGAACGGCCTGGAAGTCCAGCGGTGTTCGCGTCATCGAGTAGCCGTTTTTAGTTCCAGGCGCTCGACGGCAAAACCCCACTGGGCTAACAACAGAACCAAGATGGCCGACCACCGCGTGGTCGGTAGTCGAACGACGGCCACCTAGAAACACACTTAATTACCGATTGCAACAATGTTGCAATCGGTTAATGGGCGCCACACGACCCCCTGTGTGTGGTCGTGCATTCGGTAAGTTATTCGTTTCACGAACAGTGTTTAAACTCACTGTTCGTGAAACTACAGTATGAATGCTGGGGTTTTCCTACCGCCAGCATTCGAATGCCCTCATACAAATAGAATCCTGCACTGATCTCTCTGGCTTTAGCAAGAATACAAACATACTTATACATTAATAGTCTCCAATGGCTAGTTTTGCCACATCAAGCACACTACTAACTTGTGTTTATGCTACAAATGTAACCTAAAAGTGTACAGCAGGGACCTGGGCATACAGGCAATAGACAGTAGACAAATCTAACCCTGCGACTGGTGTGAACAGAAGCCCTAGTCAGGGCAAAACTAAATGAAATAGCTTACTGCCTGTGACAGGGGTAATAGAATTGGAAAAAATATACCAACTAATATAGAGTTTGTTTAAAACACTCGAGCACCATGGAAACCTGCAGCCCAAACTCCCATCTGGGAACCAGTGTGTGCCTAGATTGTAAAGGAAAGGGAGGGTGGAGAAAAACTGCCGGGTAGGGAGAAGGGGACAGGAAACAGGCTACGCCAGCACCCTAGCCGGCAGGACAGGCCACCCACGGCCCCAAGCAGGAAAAAACCCTGCACACCTCCCCACACAGCAAGTAAACCACACAGAGAAGCACAGTAAGGGGGAACATGCATAAAATAAGTGCTTATGTGCACACAAAGAATAACATAGATATTAATCCAGTAGAAATCATGGACAAACATAGCCTATAATCTACATAGAATATGAAACAATACCTATAAAAAATATGTATAGTTGTATGTAACGAAGAACAAACTAAATATAAATATGTGTAAAATCTGTACAAAAAAGCATAAAATATGCACAGCCACCCAAAGTAACAGGAGGTAGTGGTACTCTGAACTGTACTGACTGCGGAGCAGCAAAGAAAGAGGAAATAGTTGGTTGGGAGGAGCCTTTTATGGATTCCTGAGTTTTTTTTGTCTCTGGTGTTTTTCTCTCTATGTTAATGTGCTGCTGTGGAGTTCTAGTAGTGGAGACTTAAGCAAATACGAAGCCTCCTGTCATTAATAAAATTCTAACCGTGTTTTCCATCTCTGTGCAATTCTCCCAATGCAAGGTCCATTAACCTGTAATATGCTAAATGTAATGTACAATTACTTTATAATGTTATTAATATTAATATTGTACATATATTATTTTATTCTAGCTAAACCAGTAGTGGCGGAGCCAGTAACAGTGAGTCTCTGTGAGTCCGGAGAGATAATGTATTCACTGAATCTACAGAACTTTTATCCAAAGGAGATCAAGATTATCTGGACCTATGGACCAGGACAGTCCCATAAACCCGCGACATCCAATGATGTTATCAAAACAAATCCTGATCTCACTTACAGCATCCAAAGTGAATTAAAGGTTCCTGGGGACTACTTTAAAGATCCAAACTTTATAGTGTGTCTTTCATGGGAACATTCATCTCTGGATCATCCAGAACACCGGGAATTCTGTTCTAAGGACCCAGGTAGGGAAACAGGCTGCCTGGATGGATGTTTAAAGTGGAATATTTAATGTCAATCACATGTACGAAAAGTACAGCAATTCACAAATACGGTATGTCAATAACTGATATTTGTTTAGATCCTTCTCTATTCTAATTCATTCTAAACCTAATTGCTTTTCCCTACATTCCAGATTCATGTATTTTTCCATTCCCTCTCTAAATTATCACTTCACCCCGTTCCTGTCTTATTTAATATTCTTCTCCACCTTTATCTTACTTAATATGATGCATATCACAGTTAGTATGTCTTTCTGGACACACCAAGTAACCTGGTTGCAGGTTCTCCACCATGGCACTGGTACATATCAGAACATGTCAGATCTTAGCTTGACTGCCACAATATCTGTCTGAATCTTAACCCTGTTATTGTACCCAGAGCTTCACTTCAAATGGTCGTCAAACATATTAATCAATCTACACCGTGTTATTGTAATATGTAGGTATTTAAACAATCACCCTGGTTTATGTAAAGGCTGATAATAGGAACAGTATTGTAAAACCAAGTTACAATTAACTGATTCTATATAATGAGTGCCTAGTGCTTGTAAGGTTAGGGTTATAGTTTGTATTTTATTATCGCCATTTACAGATTAGTTTTCTGTTTATGTAGAATTTACCTGGCGTCCAGAAATTCAAGAAATTCCCATCCCTCCCGTATTACTGGGTAAGAAGGTCACTTTACAATATAATATTTCTAATTATTACCCGGCTCGGCCGGATGCTCTGGCTGTAAGATGGTTTAAGAAGGAGAAGGGAAGTAGTGAATTGGTACATTTAAGAGCTTGTTATAACTACAAGATCCCCCCTCGTTTAACACACAATAAGCAGCCGGATTACACGTACAGCTGTACAGCATGTCTGGATGTTTATCCATCACTGAGCTCAGAGCAAGGAGCACAATTTATCTGCAGAGTGGAACATCCCAGCCTGGAGCGACCAATCGAGAGACACACTGAACCATTACAAGTAAAGGGTGAGTGACTTGTGAATGCTATCAATATGCTATGTTCAACAACAAACCTCCAGATGGGACATGGTGACATGTTTGAAAGAGGGGGAAATTAAATGGCTCTGTAACATGACAGTCCCATTGCAACCCGATTATCCCAACAAGCGCAATATAACGCACAGCATTAACTAATACAGAAAGGATCCATTTACAGTAATAATGGAGATATGGCTAGTCTGGCTGTATTTCACTCTCTACTGCCCCTCAGGTCTTATGTGGTATTGCAAACTAATAATAGAAAAGGCTGCAGTGGGTCAGTTAAAATGATGCAACAATTATTTCCTCCCACCTTTGTTCATGCAGGGAGGTCTCCAAAATCTTTTCTATACAGTCAGATACTGAACTTAAAAGATGACTGAAATAAATACTGTGTATAGATAAACTAAATAAGACCCAACATTTGCTCCCATTATGAATGGAGGACTGATTGCTTAATGAGAAATTATTTCTTTCCAGGCAAACCTGAAATGAAGGAACCTGTGAAATTAACCATTTGTGGCACAGGAGATATGCTGTGTGCAATGAACCTGAGACATTTCTATCCTTGGAATTTGTGGATCAGATGGTTCTGGGGGGAAAATCTAATAAAATCTCAGGAGAAATATGAAGAAAATTCTGATCAAACATTTAATGTTCTGAGTGAATGTAGAATTAACGAGCGAGATTTCCAAAATCCAGACTATAAAATACGCACTACATGGGAACATGAATCCATGGAGGGCTGTGCGTCCAGAGACATTTCTATAAGAGATCCAGGTAAGCAACTAGTGATGGGAACAAAACCTTCTAGATAGATGCTACATACAATCCATTGCTGAGTGTTCTGCTAATTATTTAGTTACAAATTGCAGCTTTGGTTCCAAACAAATCAGACTTAATTTATGTAAACACACCATCCATTGGTATCTTCACATTTTCTTCCATTCCTGTTTTTATCAAAATGTTGGGTTTGCATTAATTCATATTCTTACAAGTTTCCAATTTAACTGCAATTCATTTTTATCATAGTAACAAAGGAATACTAGCACAAGTGTTTATATCTGCAAACCCATTGACACCGATAGAGCTGAATAACATTTTATCAAATTTCTGCAATTTCCTACATATATAGGGTTACTAGATCCACCATGTTATCAAGGACACATATAATTGTGTAATTTTTATGAAATGGGCTGCCCCACAGTATGTATAATGCATATTCTGCTAGATTCTTCATTGCCTAATTACTTAATCTTAAATACCTTCTTCTGAAGACATTTTCATGTGCTGCCCATCAATATGTATATGTGACATGTGTCCCTGAAAACATGGTGGATCTGGTAACCGTTAATATATAAGATGAAAATGTGATAACAATTCAAATTAAGTTTAATTTATTCTTGAGTAGACCTTCCCCTTGTGGCCACATTGAGAACTGCTAAACAGAAAATTATTATTTTTATAATTAATTTATATAATACTTAGTTGAGTCTGAAAATTGTATAAACCCTAATAAATCCCTCTGCCAAACCCTTCACTTGCCAGAACGGCTAAGAGATCACTAAATGCCTTGAGTGGAGATGGGTCAAACAAAAATATGTTTCATTCAGTCTTTTTTCACATATGATCATGCAGGGGATATCATTTTGAAGTCACAGTTGGGCAGATAAATAAATCCCAGCGGGTCAATAAAATAGTGAATAATATGAATTTAATAATCATCATGAATCTTTCTTCCCGTAGAAGTCTTTCCGTGGCGTCCGATTATGAGTGAGATCGCCGTCCCACGGCTAAAAGTTGGTGAACGAGCCACGCTACAGTGCGTTATATCGAAATACTTCCCTAATGCGCTGACTATAAAGTGGATTAAACGGACGCGATCAGGCCACGAGACGCAGTGTTTGCCTCCCGATTACGCAGTTACTGATTCCCCCTCACACAGGCTGGAAGATCACTCATATTCATGTGAAACGTGTCTGAGTTTTACTCCATCAATAGCAGAGGAGGATGGAGCAGAATTCATCTGCAGAGTACAGCACCCCAGCCTTGAGAATCCTGTATCACAAAGCACGGGAGTTCTGAATGTGGCTGGTGAGTATTACAGGCTTAATTATTATATAATGTTTAAAAATATATAGATTTTCTTTATTTTCCTAAAGTAACAAAAAATCTATCTATCTATCTATCTATCTATCTGTCTGTCTGTCTGTCTGTTTATCTATCTGTCTATCTATCCTGGACATGCATACACTACAGGGTGCTGCTGGGGCCAACTCATACAACATACAAGATCCAGTGCACTCGCTCATTCATTAAACAGAAATTTCAAATCTCACCGAATATAATAGTTTTATTAAAAAAAAACTCTCCTAGGCAAAAAATAATAGGTGTTTACTTAGACAGACATACAGATATAACACAGACAAACACACTGACAGACATATACACACACTGATAGACATACAGACATACAGACATGCACACACTGATAGACATACAGACAAACACACACTGATAGACATACAGATGCACACACGCTGACAGGCATACAGATATACATACAGGTATACATACACACACACACACACACACTGACACACATACAGATACACAGACACACAAACAATGAAATTTAAGGGTGTTTGTAATTAGTAACAGTGACTGTATTCACAAAAAATATTTGAATTTGGTTGAAAAGTCCAGTGAGAGCTTGGTTGAAAAGTCCAGTGAGAGAGTCCTTCGTGACCATTGTTTATCTGAGGCTGGAGATTGCTCCTTGGCAAGTACTACTGACAAGTGTGTGCAGGACCTTGGATTATATATATGTGTATATATATATATATATATATATATGTATATATATATATATATATATATATATATATATACAATAATACATAAAAATAATAAAATAAATACAATTATTTTAAAAAACACACATTTAATTATTTTTAAATGTGTAATTTTTTTTTTTAACCAGCCAGTCCCACTGCATTCAGATCCACACGCACCTATTGGGGTCATGTGATCGCTCTGTCAAAGCAATCACATGGCCCCTGGGGGCCTGATTTGCTAGTGAAGGGATGGCCTGGAAGTGGATCCCGAAGCGGATAGCCTCGAAGTTAAGTATCCCAGAGCTGCTTCTGGAATAAAAGGGAATCATGACATGTCACACATGTCATGTGTCCTTAAGGGGTTAAAGCCCATTTAAAGCGGAGCAACATAGAACGCTGTGACAACATTAAACGGTTAAAAAAGTAACAAAGTACATAAAAAAAAAATGCTCATTACCACTACACCTGGCACAACCTAGCAGAAAAATTATCCCACGCTAAGGTTCAAAATATGCCTTTTGAAATACCCTGAACGGGATTCTTTAGGAAGTGGTATGCATTTAAGGGATAGTTTGAATTACCAACTGGCTCAACTACTCCAAAATGGGACATGGACACAGTGTAAAAATACAAAGCTTGAAAAAACTGGAATGGCTGTGTCTCAAATATGCCCCTTCAATATCCACATATACCTGGCAAAGGTAGATACGGGGGTATTGCTGTACTCAAACAAATAGCTGAGCAACATATGAAGTATTATACAGTCGTAGCATACATAAGGTTTGCAAAATATACTGTGCAAACTCACTTTGTGTGTCAAAAAGCTAGCGGAAAAATGATCCCACGCTCTGGGTTCCCCCAGATTGATACTTACAGGGGCAATGCCTGGACACACTGTATGGCCCTTTGGAGTATCAGACACAATAGGCTAATACCGACATTACACCAACATCAGAGATTCCATGGGGAAATAATACCAACACGGGCAGGTGCATTCAGGTACCACATTGGGCGATGGTGTGCCCAGGCACCTGGTTGCATTTTAACTTTGTAATTTACAGTATATCCCACAAGGGAAGGAGGATTCAGGACAGCATAACTCAGTGGAGAGAGGGTAGAGCGGGAGTGGCGATTGTAAGTCATGCCCACATTACCGACCTGACTGCTATTTGGCTTCTTTGGGATTGCCTTCCCTATTTAAAGGGAGGATGAATTCAGTGTTCTCATTGCCCCTGATGAAAATGTTCTATTTTACGCACCGAAATGCTCGTCTGGCATCATGCCAAGTCTTTTCCATCACTAATCTCACCAGAGCACTATCTCAAGCACATTCCTCATGCGCATATTTTTTTTTAATATGATTTAATATACTTTGTTTCTCTGGATCTTTCCTGAACGTATCCTGTCTAGCTAGTTTTACAGGGAGAGGGGGACTTTTAATTACATCTCACTTTATTATGCTGGTTTAAGCATCTCCCTGCCGATCCCAATGGGCCAGGAGAGACACTGCAGACTTTTGAGTTACAAATTGTAGACCTTGTGAACAATCAGAGGGAAGTATTTCTTTCCACGTCCTCCTCTTACCTTGACCACATCTATAATTGTCCTTAATACCCTATGGATGGGACATCCATTTGTCTACTCATATGCCTGTGTATTTGAGTGGACTCCTGTTGTAGCTCTGTTTTTCTAGACAGGTTAGGAGATATATGGGGGACATTAGTGTTATTTAGCCAATAGATATTCTGGGATGATGTCTTATTGAGTAATATGTTTGGTTGAATACCCCCTAATGTGTATACTATAATTGTTTTGAATCTTTGCACTGTGATTTGGCCAGTTAAAATAAAGTCTTTGTATTTAGCGCGATCCAGTGCTCATTTAGTAGTATTGCACATCATACTCAAGACCTATTTAATTTGTTCTCACTGGTTAAATATAGGGGTGTCCCTTTTTATATTTATTTTTATTTTTTCTTCTGTGGACTTTGTTAAATCCTGGTAGCAATACTTTGCTAGTGCTCTCTTTCATTCATGTAAATCCTATTACACATCCCGTCACACAATAGTTATTCTTCTCTTGCAGTTTTGTGCTGTATCCCACTGGTAGTCAGATTAGCTTTCAGAACCATGGCAGTAAACTGAATTAAGAGAGATTTCACAAACTCCTCAAATATTTCCCCTAACACCTCAAACTGACTGATTTATGCAAAGTTATCTTTAAAAACTCCCACAAAATATTTAATGGACACATATCTTAAACTACTTAAAAAAAAAAAAAGAGAGAGAGATCATCACTAGGCTCTTGTATTGCAAAAATAAAACTGCTCTGATGTTCAGCCAGTTCCAGAATGGATAAATTACTAAGCTGGTCACCTGAAAAATCTACTGCATATACCTCACCCAATTTTCCCAACCGATCCCAAACTTCCTTCCACCACCCCTGATAGAGCTCAGAGTTCATGGTAGCCAGATATATTTAATATTATCCTTTTATGTGTAGATACTGAGATACTGTAAACAGAGAGAGGTAGCAGAATATATTGTAGTACGTCTAAATACCATAGATTTGATATCAATCTCTACAGAAACCAAGAGACTCTCACCTTGTCCAGAGCCACCTCTATCCTTGGCTCTAGAGTGGGAGTGCTTAGTGTCAGTATAATGGGGTGACACTTCCCCAAATAGGGGATCCAGAACCTAACGTAAGAGGACTACCATTTAGTGCTAAGGCCAAAAATATTTATTTAACATATATTGATTGAAAAACACTATAAAAATAAAAAAATTAATATAAAGTGCACTTTATGCCAAAACGCATTTTGCTGAATGCAGCTTGCTCACTTTGCAATAAAGGGGTCCGCATTGAGTTTTTTACTCCATTGATAAAGCCCTTTGGCGAAAAGCGTTTGGATGTATTTAATTGTGTTTTAATACTAATAAATTGATTTTGGTCACTTCTGTTTATCACTTGTGCCATTATCTTTTTAATTATTGTTTTTATACACACGACCTAGCATCAGCTACCTCATCTACTCCAAATAATCCCAGGTGGGGATCATACCACCGATTCTCTTGTCACAGAGCAGTCAGCCTGCTCTGTCTTTGTGAGTATAATTTATTTTATATTTTATTGATCACTTATATCTTATTGAGAGCACTATTGTTACCTTTTATCTATTTTTGGGTGCACATACCAGCATCTTTAAGAACGCTACCATCATATCCTGTATACATCCTGCTATACAAGCTAGAGCTGGCGTAAGCTCTACCAAATGTGAGTGTAAACTTCATTACTTTCAAGTATCTTTTATGACTACGAACATATGCACTATAAGTTTCTTCTTTTGTCGCCTTTTTTTATACATATGGACATCTGAGAAGTACAAAGATCCACATCTTTTGATGTTAAAGACCTGTCCATACTCAAGTACTTTGTATAAACAAGACTTTCCTAACCGGACTATATACATATTTTGTGTGGTGTAGCCCTATTCCTGATTTTGTATTGTTTACCTTGTGACCATTTACTTAGTCATGGTTTAGAGAGAACCCTTTTATAGGGCTGCTGCCTCTGTTTATTTTTGTGGAAAGTTAGTGCGGACCTTGCTTTGTTTATTTTTTTTTATTGTGTTTTGTATACATGTAGGGCATTAAAAGAAAGCCCTATTTCTCCTTTAAAAAAATGACACATTGTTTGATCACAAACACGTCACATCAGAAGAAAGCCTTGGTCCTTAAGGGGTTAAAATTATCTGTAAAATCTCATAACACAACCTCTGTGGGTGGAGAATTCCACATTTTTATTGTTCTTCCTGTAAAGATCCCATTCCTCTGCTGTAAGTAAAAACCCCTTTCTTCCAGCCTCCATGGGTGACCTCTTGGCTGTTGTATATTCCTGCAAATGAACAGGTGAGCACATAGCGGTTTGTACTGACCATTTTTATGTATATTTGTATAGTGTGATCATATCCCCTTGAGGTGGCTTTTTTCCACAGAAAAAAAAATCCACTTTTTGTAGATTTTCTTCATAACTAATGTTTTCCATCACCCTTACTATTTTTGTAGCTTGCCTCTGCAGTTTTTCTAGTTTTGCAATATCCTTCCCAAAACTGCACCGCATATTCAAGGTGGCGTCTTACCATTGATTTGTAAAGAGACAAAATTATATTTGGATCACGTGCATCAAAACCCCTTTTCATACACGAAAGCACCTTACCAGCTTTTGCAATGGCAGACCTGTATTGCATACCGTTGCCTAGTTTGTTCCTAGTGGTTTGTGGGCTCCTTATTGTAAAATGCATGACTTTGCATTTATCTAAAGTCCTAATGAAAGTATTTAGAAAATTAGGGAGACTAGATGGGTCGAATTGTTCTTATCTGCCGTCACTTTCTAGGTTTCTATGTTTATAATCTCATCTGCCAGTTGCCTGCCCAGTCCCCCAGTTTATCCAAATCTCTCTGTTGAGAAGTTATATCATGTTCAGACAGTATTTTCTTGCTTCATTTTCTGTCTTCATTAAAAATAGACAAATGACTTGCAACCCACTTTAAGATCCTTTGTAAACCGATTAAAGAGAAGTGGACCCAGGACAGAATTCAGAGGCAAAATTTTCCATTTACAACTACCCTCTGCACTCTGTCTTTAAGCCAGTGTTCTATCCAATTTTTCATTTAAACAAACTGATTTCAGTTTTTCTAGTAACCTTTTATGTGGAACTATATCAAATGCCTTAGCAAAATCCAAGTAGAGCTACTGAATCGCCCTGATCTGTATTTCTAACTTCTTCATAGAACGAAATTAAAGTGGCACTGTCATGCCAAACATACCTTTCCTCAATTACTTCCTCTTTCAGAATCTATTCTTCTCTTAATTTTTAATCTAGTTTTCTCAAAAAACATAAGATAAAGTAAGGACTACGCTTGACTTTCATTGACCAAAGGAGTCAGCTCCATTTCCTGTGTCAAAAAAAGTTTTCCCCATAATACTCACCTTCCTCAATGTTTTCGGGTGAACTATATTCGCCGTGACTGAACGTCCTTTTATTTAGACAGGGCGTCGGCAAATTGACCGGATTTTGTCCAAAGTGAATGTACACCGTTTGTCCATTCGTGTTCAGGTGAAAATCGGTTATTATATTCAGTTAGGAATTTCTCTTTGTTTTATAAACTATCATTTTGGCATCTTTGATACTCTGTTTCATCTGCGTTTATAATAGGCCCTTGTGAATATCCCATTAATTTTGAAAAGTAAAATTAATTACTTAGGGGAGTAATCTTCATAATCTGTGTCTGTTTCTCAGTTATACTGTCTCATTGTATGGGCTAAGTGTCTGTGACAGCATGTGATATATACCTGTCTCTTACACATATTCAGCTAATATTAGTTTTAATAATACTGAATCTTATTCATTAGATTTTATCCATGAATATTTTCAATATTATTAATATAGGTACTAATTGCATATGTTAAACATAATTATATAGTTAGTATATTGTGTATATATATATTTTATCTATATATCGGGTTTTGGGGTCTTTCAACCCCCTTGTTCCAGATATTTTTGGTTTCCTTTTAGCACTTAGTTTTAGTGTAGAAGATCTTATCTGTGGTCAGTGTTTGGATTAGCTGCATTCCAGAGTTTTTACCATCAGCCATGAATGAAAAAAGACAGAAGATAAAATTGTGTGTTTTACAAGATGGTGTTACATCTGCTAAATGGTGACTTTACAATATACATTTTTTATTTCTATCTTATCACAAAAGGTCTGACAATATATGCAAGTACTTCAGCAGTGATTAGTGTTTGGTCAGTCTGAATTGGACATCAAACTTTTTATACATCGGGCTTCAATAAAAAAAAAAAAAAAAAGGTGTATCCTTATTGTATAAACAGTTCATTATATCTTTTTTTATAACCTTGTCAGAGTTTACGCACGGAAAAGCAATTTGGCAGCTGAGCAAAATATATCCTAAAGCAGAGAACTGTTAATAATCCTCATGACTTTATTCATGTAAAACTTTCTCAATCTCTCCTATTTTGGCATAAATTCTGTGGCCGGGCTGTTAACTCACAGTTTAGTAAATACATCCCCAGGAAAATACAGAATAAAGCTTGTATTTTCTCCTGCTGGTGATTGTCTTTGACTATATGGTCATATCACAGGAAGCAGGATGAGATGCACCTGTTATTGAGAAGGGTCAGTCTGTGGTGTGCTATAGCTGTATGAAGTATAATTGTCTTGGCTGTGGCCGTCACTGACTGTGGAACTGATCCTAGAACACATAAATGGAGTTACAACATATCAAGATCACTCCTTCATTCCCCCGCCACCAACATTAGATTGTAAGCTCTTTGCACCCAGAACTCCCACCATATATTACTTTTTATTTACAAAACCCCTAACACGTTTTACAAAGCTTCTATAAAATAATAATTGCAGTTAACAGCCAAAAGGAGGAACTGTCATTTTGTTTCTGGGCTGATTTAAATTTCCTTCCAGCAGAATTTCTACAGCTGGGAAACTTTAAATCTTTTCCCCTTTCTCTGTGTTATTTCTTAAGATTACACAAGGAGACTGTAACTATAACAGAGGGCATTGCGCTTGCCCTGAAAAATAACTTAGATCACATTTCTGAGTTCAGGCATTTTGAGTAAACAAGGGACTTTTTGAAGAGGAAGTTACTGAGAACTTTGAATAATACTACGAAACTACATTGTTACTCACTATATTTAGCATCTGATGTGATTGCTTCAGCCAGTCCTTGGGTCCAGCAGTTCCTTTCACTAACCCAGGGCACCCTGATATCACTATATATCCAAATATTACACAGCTGTGTTAAATAAAGTTCAGTTTACCATAAAATTACAGCAATTAATGCAGTTCAGTAACATAGGGCTTATTTCCATTCTTGATTCTTGTTAAAAAGCAGCCGTTACACATTGTTAATACCAACAGCCAGAATGAAGATTTTGATTAAACATTTTACTGCTACTCATGGCTGCTTCCACTGGTACCGACCACCACATTGAATTTACTGTTTCGCTGGTTAGTCATATGTAAAGAAATAGGTACATTTTCTAAAACAACCCCACGAGGACACCATGCAAGGTTCATTAAGCACATGCGCATCATATGTGCAAGATTCCCTTCATGTTTCCATACACCTGACTTGACAAATTTCTCAGGTATTTAAAGGAAACATGCTTATAGATTGGTGTTAGGGCTAAATCTATTTAAATTTACAATTATTATAACTATTATTATTATTGCCATTTATATAGCACCAACAGATTCCATAGCACTTTACAATATTTGAAGAGGGAGGATTTCACTATAGATAGAACAATTACAAGAAAACTTACAGGAACGATAGGTTGAAGAGGGCCCTGCTCAAACAGCTTACAGTCTATAGGAGGTGGGGTATAAAACACATTAGGACAGGAAATAGCAATCAAATAAGGTGGGAGTGAAGCAGAGCTGGAGGAAAGAGTAGAGAGCAAGAGACAGGTATGTGAGATAGAGGTTACTCTGGGAGGCCATAAGCTTTCCTAAAGAGTTGGGTTTTAAGGCACTTCTTAAACGATTGAAGACTAGGGTAGAGTCTGATGGCGGTAGGCAGGCTATTCCATAAGAAGGGAGCTACCCGTGAGAAGTCCTGCAAGCGTGAGTTGGCTGTTCACGGGCAGAGCGGAGAGACCAAGAAGGGGCATACCTATGGATCTGTGAAGAGATATTAGAGTGTCTAGATTTAATCAATGCTTTATAGGTATGGGTTACCACTTTGAATTGACTTCTATAGGATACGGGAAGCCAATATAAGGACTGACAGAGGGCTGAGGTGTGAGAGAAACAACTAGAGAGGAAAATCAGTCTGGCGGCAGCATTCATTACAGACTGTAGTGGGGCAATACAGTTTTTGGGAAGACCAATTAGGAGAGGGTTACAATAATCCATGTGGGAAATTAGTAGAGCACAGACAAGCTCATTGGTAGCAACTTGCCTAAGAAGTGGCGGATTCGGGCTATGTTTTTAAGATGGAATCTACAGGATTTGGCAACATACTGGATGTGAGGCTCAAAGGCGAGACCAGAATCAAGTATGACACCCAGACAGCGCGCTTGCAAGAATGGACTGACGTGGCTACCACTAACTTAAAGGAGAGCGAAAGAGGAGGATCAGAGAAGGAGGAAAGACAATACATAGATGTATTGATTTGAAATCAGTTTGTATTTTACTCATCATATCTAGATGAGGCACCTGTCAGACTTAATTGATTTATGGATTTTAATATATCTGTCTAATATAAAACATTAAAGCTTTTGGCTGTTACTAATGAATTATCTATATGCCTACAGTAAAGAGTTTATTGTATGAGCCCTGCATTCTCCAGTACAATTGGAGACCTCTCCAAATTGAAGAGTCTATGTGTCTGTTCACTAAATGTTTATTTGGCTCAGTTCTCTTCAATTAGGCTAATAAACTCATCTGTAACTTATCATCAGCCTAAATGAAGCAGAAATTAGCAAAATGGGTTGCAGCAATTTTCAAATTGATCCCGTTGCAACAATGAGATTCTTGTGAGAAGGGCCTCATCCAAACAACAACCGAGTGAGGCTTTGGGCATAATTATAGGTTTAAATGGTTACTCCAACCACCATGAACACTTCAGCGATTTGAAGTGGTCATTGTGGCAGAACAGCTGCCTGTATGTTAAACTCCCTTTTCTTTTACATGTGTTTCCCCTGTATGTTCGTTTGTTGTAACGGCTCCCCATTCGGGAGTGCTCCTGCGAAGGGAATTAATTGATCTCCCGAGCAGGGACCACCCTGATAACCTCATTTAGAATGTTATGTTAGAATGTTCACACCTCGCAACATAAGTGTCAAAACCACAAACCGCAAGGGAGGTAATTAATGAGTGCTTCCCTAGGACGCCACTGTTCGTATAGATGTGTGGTGGCCAAGGGGAGCATTCGTATCCCAAAAGGAGACGCTTCCCTTGTCTGGGTTTTACCCAGGACCTCACAAACAGAGATTAGTCACGTGAGGGACTGAGGCGATGGTCCCTGAGATTGGCGTTTTGTGAGCCCAAGGGACAAAGAAACCAGGTCTTTTCCCGCTGGCGGGCTTTTATGTGCCTGTGAGACAAACAGTCCCTTTTTTCTGCGCCTAGGGTCTCATGCACAGAGGCTCTTGGGAAAAAGACCCCTGGCTTAGGGACAAAGCCAGGGGCCCCAGGGAGGGGGAGGATCTTGGGATGTGTCCTTGGATGTTTGTGTGGTAAACCCCTGTGGTTATACATAAAATTGGCCAAGAAAATTGTGTTGTACCTCCAGGACTGTGTGTTGTCCAGTTACTGTGGGGGATCAAAAGGGCTCTCCTTATGCCCTAACTGGTTCCCAGCCAGCTGAAGGAATGGAAATGGTGGAGGTAACCAGTCGGGTTACCATAGGTTCGCTACAGTCATCATGGTAGGAGTGTGTACGCGCAACATTTCCACTTGAAATACTGCACATACAAAGATATTGACACTTGTTTGCCGGGGGCTAGTTGTGTGCCGGGGTTAGTCACATGACCGGAACTGTTTCAGTTCATGCAAGGGGCAGCTTGTTCTCCAATCCCTTCCATAATTTATGCAGTTCTTCCCGCTTTAACGCATTTATTTCTATATTTTTTTTTTTATTGTCCTCCACTGTCTGGCTCAATCACAGGCTTTTCTATAAGAAATCTTGATTGGACCACATGTGGCTACCTGCTGACGTCAGATGGAGAAGGGAGGAGGGAGATCAGCACCGGGAGCTTCTCTTTGTTGGGTTGAGTCAGAGCTAGGGGGAGTGCTAAGTGTCACAGGTATAAGTGTGTATCAAAGGGATTGGATAAATCAATATATAGAGGGAATTTGGTTGTTCTTTCGTTGAAATATAGATGTTTGTGAGTGGCCAAATTAATAAACTTATCTAGAGATTTGACTGACTTTAAAACTAATTGAACAAAATAAATGTAATTGAATAAATGGAAATAGCCAAATTTGAATCACTTTTGGCTAAGGGTGATGAGAATGGAAGACTGCAAGTTCTTGGCCTTGCTGTCAGTGTTAAATCATTAATGTATCTGTGACAGAAGTGACATTAAAAGATAACCAAGACCCCTTTTATTATGAGATTATATTCTTTTCAGATATGAATACTCATTGGACGGGTCCCACTCACAGCCAGCCTGTTTCTCCCGTGTGCAACAATTCAGGTTGGTTTTTCTATGATTGAAAGATTATTAAGAATCACCATAAAGAATTTACACCCTTTGGCTTTGGTTGTATTGACCTACACACAAGCTTATGCTACAGCGTTATTATTGATTCATGTCCCTGCAATACATAGTACAATGGGAAAAAGAATTGGGTTTATATTCCCCCTCCCTCTGTGGCTGTAGCCATACAGCTAGCTAAAACTTTATCAAATAGTTTATTTCACTGGAAATCATTTTGCAAGATATTAATGAGATGGTACCTGGTCCCTTTCAGACTTTCACAAATCTATAATAGCTCACCCACCAGATGGAGATGTGGAGATGGGGTGAGATCATTACTGCATATTTTTGGAGAGAATGGCCCACAATTAACCATTTCTGGTCTCATGTTAAGGGAACTATCCACAAGATAAGATGTATAGATATCCCATTACAACCAGAATACAATGTTTTACCCGTAACACCAATTATTAATACTGCTTTGACTAAAACTGTAATAATACACATTCTACAGGCTGTTAAAATGAGTATTGCAAACCACTGGAAACGGGTTACTCCCCCCCACCCTGAGAGAAGTAATAGATAGAGTTGAGAACACACGCCATTTAAGGAGAATGGCTTGTAGACTCAAAGCTAAAGAGGAGCTTCATGCGACAATGTGGCAATGTTGGCTATGCACTAAAGATAGCTGATGCTGAAGATTTGCTGAAAATAAAAAACACTTATCTGCCAGGGCAGCTCAGGGTTATATGAGCTTTAATACATTTTAGTAATTTTTAATAATACGAACAAAATTCTTAGTGTAAAAGTCTATGAGGAGGGATTATAGAAAGCACTAGGCAATAGGCAACACTATAGTACCTTTCGAGGACAATCACATGTATAGTAATACATATTTTGGGGATCAGATTGATTATTTTGAGAAGTGCAACATATATAAGTATTTCCTAAATTTTATGAGCATTTTGTGTATTATTGTATTCATGTACTTTTTAGTTTAAAGGGACACTATAGTCACCTGAACAACGTTAGCTTAATGAAGCAGTTTTGGTGTATAGAACATGCCCCTGCAGCCTCACTGCTCAATCCTCTGCCATTTAGGAGTTAAATCCCTTTGTTTATGAACCCTAGTCACACCTCCCTGCATGTGACTTGCACAGCCTTCCATAAACACTTCCTGTAAAGAGAGCCCTATTTAGGCTTTCTTTATTGCAAGTTCTGTTTAATTAAGATTTTCTTATCCCCTGCTATGTTAATAGCTTGCTAGACCCTGCAAGAGCCTCCTGTATGTGATTAAAGTTCAATTTAGAGATTGAGATACAATTATTTAAGGTAAATTACATCTGTTTGAAAGTGAAACCAGTTTTTTTTTTCATGCAGGCTCTGTCAATCATAGCCAGGGGAGGTGTGGCTAGGGCTGCATAAACCGAAACAATGTGATTTAACTCCTAAATGACAGTGAATTGAGCAGTGAAATTGCAGGGGAATGATCTATACACTAAAACTGCTTTATTTAGGTGACTATAGTGTTCCTTTAAAAATAAAAAATAATAACCCTCCCTCTGCATTCAAAATCTTGATTATATATATTTTTTGTGATGTGACCGAGAATAACGCTGCATTTAGGTATAACATTTTGGAAAATTTGTCAGAGTAACTGATACCTAGATGGAAACATGGTTTGAAGTGTCACAAATGAGGGCACAGAGTTGCTCCCTGAAATCAATCCAAACCTCTTTATCACCTACCTCTCACGTATCTTTCCTTTCCCCTGTCTCTTAGTGGTTTCTCATCCTTCTTCACTCACTGTGGTGGTGAATATTTAGTGCAATTGAGAACATGCTCTAAGTGATTGACACATGATCGTGAGAAACAGAACAGGACATGTATGGTCACCATTCAGATACAACAAAATAAACCACTGTGGTTAATTACATGATTTTGCTATTTCATGACGAAAAGTCATGATTTTATGAAAGACACGGAGGCGAGTATTGCTTAACCCTTTCTTTACTGTCCACCAATAGCAGCAAAGAATACAAACAGTAAGAAAAAATGGTAACCATAGTGATAGACCACTCCCATACCAAGTCCCAGTATAATAGTCAGCACCTCCCCACACACTTCCTCTTTCTTTGGAGATGCGACACCAAACCAGCTAAGAGGAACCGATGAACAGTCCAGAACTCAGCAGACCAAACCATCCCGAAATCCAGCTGGATATTTATCAGGAACCATCTGTGAACTGGGACTAAACCATTAACAAATGACTAAGCGTCAACAACAGGGAGTCCGTCACAGCATCATCCATAGATCTCCAGCCAACGTGGTGAAGTCTTGGGAAGAAGTGAGGATCTTTATACAGCACCAACAGTGCAGAATCAACCTGTGAAAACATAAAAAACAGGAGCCCAACCGTTCGGTACTAAAACCAATTGCTCATGCCAAGCCATAATACATTGATATACTGAAACCACATAGAGCCCCTAATGTCAGACAAGAGAACCACCACCAGGCCAACATAACATTAACAGTACGGATGCACATAAAATACCATGTTGAACTCAGTGCAATACTTACCAACCTGAGATATAACACAACAGGGGGGGAAAACACAATGATAGAAAAATAAAAGGGTGGGACAATACTCGCCTCCGTGTCTTTCATAAAATCATGACTTTTCATCATGAAATAACAAAATCATGTAATTTTATGTCAAGACACGGAGGCTCATATTGCAAGTTTAAAGCTGATCAATAACCGAAGAGAAAACATGTGTTGATGGCCGAAAGTAAAATTTTCTGAAGGTGCATTTGCGGGACTAGTCCGCCATCCTCATCAAGTCTTTCAGGCGTGTTCCCGAAGACACCATAGACGTGGCTGATGCCCCTCGTGTGGAGTGAGCTAAAGATGGATGTATCCACACCGGCCGGTGACACCCATTTCACCCAACGAGTCAAGTTAGTGCTGGACACCGGGGCGAAGGGTTGACGAATCGAGAGAAAGAGCTGAGGGGACGCGGCTGAACGAGGAGATTAGTGGCCAGGGAGGCCACTAGAGGCAAGAAACAAGTATTACATGAAACATGTTCCTTGTTGTCAGGATAGGATCCTGACAGTTACTGATGATAAGGATGAATGTAGTAAATTGAGATTAGTTGCAGAGGTTCCACTCAATCGTTGTCCAGTGTTATTCTCAGATATATATTGGAACTACAACAAATTGTGACAAAATATATAGATTTAGGATTGTTTATTCTTCAGTCACCACCTTGCTGTTCAGTGAATAAATCCATGTGTGATTTTCTACTCTTGGTCTAAATTCCGCAATATGATTGTAAACTCTCTGCAAATCAATGATTAGTGAATAAACCCTGGGACCTTCCTGGTGCACACAAATAAAGTGAACTATGGTGTCTGTTCTATAAATAATGAAGAGAACTGTCTTGAGCTCTAACTTAAAGGTAAATAATAGATTGAAGTAGCAGAGTGTGAAAAAATAAACTCCCCAGCCCAGCTGAACATTTGTTTTTAAACTTATCTGCACTGTTACGACATCTAATAAACCATTTTGTTCTGTGTTGATAGAAACATTTTCATATCCAACATAAAAAAGTGAGGCCCCTGAGGATGCTACACAGATGATACACATAGGGGAGCACACTCTTTTAAAATAACAGAAACGTATGTAATTGGGTAAAAGGGGAGGTATTTATTTTTGGAGGTGTTTGGTGCGTTCAGCTGTAACTGATATCCCCGTTATATATTTCTTCCTGTGTTGGTCTCGCCAAATGGAGCAAGATTTTTGTAACAGGTACACACATATCCAGAGAACAATTGGCTATTAGAAATGTAGTTGAGTTTTCTTATAGTAATAAGGACAATCTAACCTCTAGAACTCTGTGTAGAGGTTATGTTGGCTAAAGTCTCTGTGCACCGTCCAGGAATGGTTTTACATAAACCAGGGCTGTCCCCGATATTTGTAGAGCGCCACTTCCTCAGTTACATTGATAAAGTGGAAATTAAGCTGTGAGTTCGGTCTTTCTCATCCAACCTGAATGGCATTGATTGGCTGAGAGTGGTAACTGTGAGTTTATGCAGTGCTCATAGCTCATAGACTATCATCAAAAACCTGTGATGTTCTGTAGCTTAGAACATGTCTTTAATTTATATCACTTTATTATAAAGCAAACTGGAATCACATTTAATTTGCCACACTTCTGTTTACCTGTCTGGAGTTATTCTTGGTAATTTGAGATCTGTGTGTGAAAAATCACTATAGATATGAGATGTGATGTTTTGAATCTTAACAACTTCTAATGGATTTTTATTAGATTTTCCAAAACGAAAAAATAGAAGGAATTCATCCAAACTAAAGAAGCGAAAACCAGTGGAAGATGATAAACCAGAAACTGGTAAGAAAGCAGACAATTATCTACAGATCTGAGTGTCTGAAAGATGCCTTCCTAGGACCAGAACTGAATGTTAAGAATGCTGTCTGTGATTAGTGGAGTTCGGATATAACAAGCATTAATGTAGACATGAGCACACGAGAGAGCAGAGGCAGTGAGAGACTTGTGCAACCAAAACCAGAGATCCCACCACTTTAAACTCACGACCAAAAAGGATCTATGTTAATGGCAATTTATCGAAATGGGTTGCTAAGGGGTACAAGTGAAAAAAGTTTGGAAACCACTGCACTAGAACCCATAACAGTTATGTTGGCTAAAGTTTCTGTGTGCTGTGCAGGAATAGATCAGCATAAACCAGGGATGATTTCACATAAACAGGAGCTCCACCTCCTCATCTGCATTGATTATGTTGAATTTTCACTGTCAGTTTGGTTGTTTTCATCCAATCTAATTGCATTGATTGGCTGAGAGTGCTAAGGATGAATTTGCGGTGTGCTCTCGACTCAGACTGTTAGCAGCAAAAACCAATACACTCAACTGAAGTGGTTCTGTAGTTTAGAACTCTCCTTTGTTATTAAGCAAACTGGAATCACATGCTATCTAATTGGCCAATCCTCTGTTGATCTGCCTGGGGTTATTCCTCCTTAATTTGAGATCACTGTATCAGAAAGTACTGTATGTTAATTACGGTAACAGCAAGAGCTTAGTTTTATGGGCAATAGCGGAGGTTGATTGAGGCTTGATATAAAGCAAGCAGAGAGTTGAGTAGGTGTGTAAGACAAAAGAAACAGAGAGTGCTCAGGTTGGGGTAGGTATGAGATGTGAATATTAACAACCTCTGATGAATTTTTATTATATTTTCAAAAACAAGAAAATGGAAGTAATTCATCCAAATCGACGAAAAGAAAATGGGCAGAAGATGACGAACCAGAAATTGGTAAGAAAGCAGACATTTATCTGCAGATATGTTTGGCTGAAGATGCCTTCCTAGAGGGAGAACTGCACATTAAGAACAATGTCTGTGATTAGCAGAATTCAGATCTAATAAACGTTAATGTAGATATGAGCACACCAGGGAGCAGAGGAAGCGAGAGATATTTGCAACCCCAAGCAGAGATTTCAACCCTTTGACCAAAGAGGATCATAGAACCAACAAAGAGTGTGAAAAATGGCAGAGGTTTGAAATATATATTATCTAGTGGCAAAGAAAATTGATAAACATAAGCATTTAAAGGACCACTACACACACATAAAGCAATTAAGCTTGTTAAAGTGCTTTACGTTTATGGAGTATTCCATTTTAATGGCACTTTATAAAAGTGCCTCTTTCTTTGAGTAATTCTTTTATAAACAGAATAAGAAAGCTTCTCTTCCACTTCATTTAGCTCCATTGAGCTGACAGAAGATCACGCCTGCACGTAACAAGGGTTGTCTGATGTTTTTGTAAGTTAGACTGATTGGACGTCTCCTAGCAATTACCGCAGCATCAAGGAGTGTTATGTGATTAATTCAAAATTAGCACAAAGGGTAATATTGTAAGGGAAAGAAGTGGATGATGAACAATGAGATGGGGAGAATCCGCAGCAAAAGCTTCTCTTTTTTTGTACCATGAGATTAATAAAGTGCAGATACGACAAATTCCCAGTTCTGATCCTGATGAGTTTACTTTTTGTGGTTGTAGAATCCTACAGTGAGAATAAAAGATCCTACCTCGAAGATCATCCATTGGCAGCTGGTGTACAGGATGTATATATGGATGAGGCTTCAGATGGAATGGGAGATCCAGGAGAAGAAGACAAAATGATCATAGGCTGAAAGAATATAATGCTCTACACTATTTAATGTATGACACAAGATAAGCCATGTGGAATGGTCATTGGTTAATACGTACAAAGGGTGAATGAGAATTAATATTGTAATAAAAATAAATGTGATGAGTACGTTGGCACAGTAAAGGAATTAATGATTACTTCTGCATTATGGAAAAAACAATATATGATGAGTACTGGAAGGAAATTAATGACCAATGAGTAATAGACAAAGAGTAATATACTAAAGAAAAGATATAGACAGAGTAATATAGCAAAGAAAGAAAAAGAGACAATGTGTAAAAGTGCGCTTGTGCCTTTAAAAACGTGCTTTTTGAATATACATGCTTTTAAGATATGACAGTGTTAAAAAACAGCAAACAGTGCTTATTAATTATTGTGCAAATAGCAATTCAAATTATGCTTCACTTAAAGTGCAATTTAAAAAATGTTTAGTGTATGGGCAAAAACCAGTTAAAGTGATTTTATGTGCCGATATGCTGAAAATATAAAAATGTATAAAATATTATACTTGCAAATACGTTGACCTCAAAATGAAAGAGAAAGATATAAAAAACATATGGTGTAATATTGTTTAAACACCAATAATTTTTAAAACCAGATATGTATATTGAACTCACAAACAAGGAGCAGGTTAAGAACTGCTCAGGCTATATGCGCATTGAATGTAAATCCAGCCTTATATACAGGGAAACGATGGACAGCCGAAATCCAATTGAACAAACTTTATTCTTTAAAATAAGTAACACACGTCTCAAACTTATTCCGTCTCACCAGTCTCTCGGATAAAACATGCTAAAAAGTCCTCGGCAATACCAGTAGCCAACATTCTGGATTCCTGGGCTATAGCGTTCGTAGCGGTGGGCAGAGTTCGATGACGTCTTTCGTGTAACATAATAGTGTGCTAACGTAATTACACACACCGTGATGACACGTTTCGCCAACTCCTGGCTTCCTTAGATCACTTCCTTCGGTCTGTGTCCATCAACATTTAAAGCCACTCTGTGGGCGTGTCTCAGTCTAAAAGTCTGAATTTCAAGGCCTTTCATTGGTCAAGAAATAAAACGGTTCATGCATATATTAACCTCATATTCTGGGTATATCTCTTTTTTTAAAGGAAACAGGTAAAAAAATAAAAAAATTGTATAAGATAAAAGAGGTGGGTTAAAAAAAGGGGGAGGGATAGATCCAAAAGTTATATCCATACAGAAATGCATAAATAAATAATTTCAAGAATATAGACATCAAAATTAAAAAATATATAAACAATGTATTATAAAAATTATTATAGAAAATTCTCACAAAAAATTTTAAAAGATTAAACTCTATATTTAATCCATAAATTGCTAAATTATTTAACCTACAAATCCAATTAATTTCTTCTTTCCCAATATCTCGAATATGGTTTCCTCCCCTCCAAGCTTTTTTTTACACACTGTATATCAAGAAATATTAGACCATTAGACAATGAGTAAATGTAGTAAAGAGATAAATAATCAGTAATATAGTAAAGGAAAGGGATAATAATGAGTAACATGGCAAGGGTGAAGATATTATTTGGTAACATGATAATTAGAAGGGATACACAATGAATAATGTCATAAGAGAGAGGAAGCAGAGACACTGGAAATTAAAAATGAATTGAATTACTGCGTGACAGAGCCAGGACACTCCTGGTACCATATCTACTACAGCGGTTTGTAGGGTAATGGTTCTTGGAGTGTTCCTGTAACATAGTAAGGATAAAGGATTGAGAATGGGAGACTTGATAAGAAAAAGAGACAATGAGCGACGTTGTAAAAGAAGGGATGTAGGAGAAGTAACATGACCAGGAGAAGGGAAGACAGTCTGTGACATGATGAGGAAAATGGATAGTGAATGAGTGACATGGTAAGGAGAATGGATGGACAGTGAGTTAATTGATATGGTGAAGGAATAGATGGAAGATGAGTGATATTATAAGGACAATGTATAGACAATGAGTAATGTGGGGTGCACAACGAATGGATGTGAACCCCTTTATTTTCTACTTCCAGGTATTTTTATGAAAGACAAACATGTTCAAGTTTGCATTACTGACCTGCCTTTTTTTGTTTGTTTTTGTAGAATTACATATTGGTAAAAGAAGAGTCATCCCTGGACATCTGGCTTCCACCAGTCACAGTTAACATAGCTGGCCTTATCTACTACCAAAACTGTGAAATGTAGTATGATGTATCATGCTAGATGGGTGTATTTACTAAAGACTGAATGATCACCGTACCAAACAGGGAAAAAACATCCAGTTTCATAAAGGACCATTAAGCCAGCAAATTCCAGATATTGCTCACTATATTGAACAATGTCCAGGTTATGCAGTCCTTGCTCCAAATGCAGCAGAAATGAGTCTGGATTTCACTCTGTCCGAATGCTGCCAGGTGGAGATCATGGCCTGCATGAATAAAATTAATACCAAGAAGCTTAAAACTCTGGCCTTGATTTTAAAAGTAAGAACTATTTGAATGCAGCCAGCGGGAAAAAATTAAAAGAAACCTTAGCGGCACAAGGGTTAAGTGTAGGGGAGACTTGCCTGGCAATGCATTTTTTACTTTAGAAATATCAATTAATTTATACTGGTAATAAATCATTTTACATTATATTCCTGTATATATTTAATTTTGTTATAAAATACCTTGTGATATTGTCTGTTGGTGTGTTGAACCATTATTGTCCTAAATAATCCTGTGATTACACCAATATCAGCCTCCTGACTGTGTCTATGAATTCATATTCATTCTGTGTATTTTAATATTAAATAAAGACTTATAGCATCACAAGTAGTGGTTTGCCGAACGGTTCGCCACGAACGGTTCGCCACGGACTCATCACTGAGTAAACTTTGACCCTGTACCTCACAGTCAGCAGACACATTCCAGCCAATCAGCAGCAGACCCTCCCTCCCAGACCTCCCACCTCCTGGACAGCATCCTTTTACATTCATTTGAATGAATTCTTAGGATGCTGTCCAGGAGGTGGGAGGGTCTGGGAGGGAGGGTCTGCTGCTGATTGGCTGGAATGTGTCTGCTGACTGTGAGGTACAGGGTCAAAGTTTACTCAATGATGAGTTCGTGGCGAACCGTTCGTGGCGAACCGTTCGCGAACCGTTCGGCGAACCGTTTGGGACATCACTAATCACAAGTAATAACTTTGGAGGTTACTATCTGTAAAGGCCGGTCTCACTCAATGCACAAACTGAGTCCTGAATTAAAAGATATACGGGGAACAGTTTCTATTTTGCTCTGTTGATACTTTTTATTTGCTTCATGTTTTTTCTTTTTATACAGATGCGAAGCTTCCCACTATCTTCAGTAGGGCAGTGCTAGAGTTTAAAAATGTATCCAGTCACTTGTGGGTGATTGAGGTGACATACACAGCGACTGCCACAGTCTGATTAATGTAGGTACTTGTGAAGATATGGGGGAAATAGCAAACACCCCCATTGTCTCCATAAAGCAGGACTGCACACAGGAATTATAATTGTAGCAATGGCCTCTTAGAAAGCATACGTTTAGTGCACTATGGGTATCCACCAGTGCCACTTCTGGTATTAAAATATCTGAGGTGACACCTTGTCTGCACTTTGAGCTTGTTTACAATTTTTTCTGAAAAATGGCTGCCATAAACTGTTGCTACTAAGAGTCAGTAGATTGTAGCAGCTACAAATTACCACTTGGTGTTCAGCTTTGTTGCAAAATGTTTGTAGCCTATCATTACCCGCTGCCTCTACAGATACCAACCTCACATATTAATGGCTTGGTATTAAACCATAGAAACACACACCTGAGCATGCGCACTTCACTCTGTGCGGACAGCAGTGACAGGCAAGTAGCGGCTGGTGAGTAAATCTTAGTTTGGAACAAGACTTCATGTATTTTTTTTTTTTTTTTTATTCTTTATTTTTGATGTGCATAAAAGGTACATGCATGCCGGAACTGCAACAACAGCAAATACTAGCAACTCAAAGTAAACATTAATATGGCATGAGTAAAGACTGCACAATTTTTATAATAAACATGCTTGTAAGAAAAAAAACAAAAAACAAGACAAGGTCTATGCCTGTCGATGTTAGTCATTAGTTGATTAATCTGAGATATGTACTCTTGTCAATGTGGACTCAAAGTATTTATGGTTAAACAGGTACTGCCTGAGAGCAAGAGTTCTACTAACAAGTGTAAGCAGTGTACTTTGACACACGAGTAATATCAGAGAGGCCTAATATATGCTACAGGCATAAGGTAAAAAGGAGAGAAAACTACTGGGTGTTTACAGCATAGAGTAAGCTATCATACATATCAGTTTTATAAGTAAGTAGATGGATAGAAATAATGGCCTTCTAGCCAGCTCATATGTGTATGTTAATTAAGGTAACAGCAAGAGCTTAGTTTTATGGGCAATAGCGGAGGTTGATTGAGGCTTGATATAAAGCAAGCAGAGAGTTGAGTAGGTGTGTAAGACAAAAGAAACAGAGAGTGCTCAGGTTGGGGTAAGATTTGTAAGCCAGTACTAAAGTACTGAAGAGATATTGTACATAATACTGACAAGGAGATTAGGTAGACATAATGATTAGTACAAGCTAGGGAGGCAACTACTACTTGGTGATAGATTAGTTCACCCTATGCCCTGGATAGGCCTTGATTTGCAGTCCATCTTCTTGCTGCAACTGATGGGGCCGCTGCCCCAGAGACAGGCACGGGCGGGAAACCAATGAGATACCTTCTCCACGCCAAGTTTACTGCTCCTCCACGCTGTGGTGAGGTCTATGCTGTGTGGGCTTGCTTGTGGATGGGTGACTGGTATAGCGCGTTGCTGATGGTGTGCAGTCTTCCGCCTGCATGAATGGTGCTTCAGGGCCTGACCCATTGTCGTCTGCAGCCTGGGAGGGCGAGCACGGCTGGTGACAGGTGCTGGTAGGATCGCTGGGCTCGGAGGAGGCCCCCTCCCTTCTTGCCTCTCCTTCCCTCGATCATCTCCACAAGATAGGGATTGTGAAGTTGTTGCCCGTGCCTCCAATGCCCAGAAGGGAGTTTTCAATGGAGCACTGTGGGGAAGGAAAGCGTCCATCATCTTAGCACTGATAGATGTATGTATGGCTCAGTGGGGACCGGGATAACCCCCGCCGGTCCAGAGGGGGTGGAACTGGAGAGCAAGTGAATTCTGTGCTGAAGCAGTTCTGCACTGAGTAGGAGAGTGGTCGCTTCTCCTTCCCGATGCCTGCACAAGGCTATTCCTGGAGGTCTGTGTAGTTTGGACAGCAGGCACCTTGTAAGTTCTGCCCAAGCTCTCGCTCGTTTCACCTGGTGCTAATTGAGTCTGCCGGAGGTCGATTATTTTGCAGATTGCAATAGTTAGCTGAGGAGCACTCTCAAGATACATCTGGCTGCCCTGAGGTTCAGGCCCCTGCCCCCTGACTTTATGATTAAATACAGTGTATAGGGATTTTACTATTGTTATCCTCTTTACAGAACAGAGACTGCTGATTTTTTGGATTAGTGGCAGCCAGTAATGAGTAGAGAATGGATTGGAAACCAGATGGAAGGCAGTCTTTAAGTAGTGGTTAGTGGATCTCATAGAAAATAATGGAAGCTGTTACTTGCAAGATAGCCACTGACTTTCAGTAATTGTGAAATTTTGCAGCCAGGAAACAGCTGCTACTCGCTGACAGTAGTAACAGGCTCAGCAATTATTAGTAGCTGGGGCTGAGATTGGTTATCTGATGAACCAGGTATCTTGCAAATCTCTAGCTTTGGCTTATCCCATATGGGAGAGTAGAAGCACTATAGCGTACGATTATGATGAATTTGTATTAATATGACTGAATTCAAGAGGTCTTTCGAACCTGTAGGCAAGGAGCAGAACGTTGTTTAAGGCTCAATGTGGATGTAACAAGGCAATAGGTCTGTTGCAGATTGCACTATAGAATTTTGCACGCTTGCTGCTGGCGTGGATTCAACCAATAGCTCTTTGGTTTCTGAATTCTCGGAAGGGCTCTCTGAATCACTTCTAAAAGAAATAGCAGCTAGAGACCTACATGAGCAATGAGAAGATTTTATTACTTATGTGTTGTACATAGACAATTGACTCAAGGAGAGAGCAAAAAACAAAACTAGAACACCACATTTTTCTGTTTCTCGGGCTTTTTGTATTACTCCATCTGCTCCTGCAGTTGCTACCGAGTCCGAGCCTATGTAATTAGGAGTAATGACGTTATCAGAAGCTGAGAAACAGCATCATAGGACTGAGGGGTATTTTTTATGGTGCGGTAAAAAGGGACATTTAACTGCCCAATATGTTCAGAAAACCCCCTGAACCTAAGCACTGTTAGAGAACCGGCCTTAAGTGTAATGAAAATGTCCTCTATAGGGGGTGGGGCCTGATGCCCAAGATGGCTGGACGTGTCTTCCATTAGCTCCTGAGGAAACAGGCTCAAATACAGCTATTTCACAGAATTGTTCAGTTTACCCCAAGTTACCAGCTGCTTAATAAACAAGTCCTGCACAGACCTGTCCGCTTGTACTGGACCAATTAGTGGCACCGCTATCTGGTTCCCACTTGCGGCCTGTACAAGCTGGTATGTTTGCTGGGGTGAGAGGCAGCTGATCTCCCACGGTGGAACAGGCCAGTTACAGCTACACATTTAAAGCCCCATTACCCCCCCCCCCCCCGGGCCGGTGGGGCTTATCCCGGTCCCCACTAGGATGTCGGAAAACTGCACTTAAAGCTGACAAGCCGACGATTCTTGAAACCGTGGCGTGACTAAAATGGCCGCTGTGCAGGGCACTTATCACGATCAGGCAGACCTGCTGGGCCAAGATTGGGAAGAGCACTTCCTTAAGAGATTCAATGTGGTCTGCCAGAAGTTCTGGGATTGCATATACAGCAAAGCCTCTATATTCACTCCACCTGCTGCACAGCCGATCTGGAGTGCTTCTTGTCTCTCTACTGGGCCGGAGACACACGTGGAGGTACCTCCAGCTTGTCATCCACACACCCAGGGGATACTCTGCATCCCAGTGAACCCGCAGGCTCAAGATCCGCCTGCACTACTGAAGGGGATCCGTGGACATGGAGTACGGGCTCCCACACAAGTGTGGGGCAGAGAAGACACAGAGCTGCCACTTATGGTATCAGACATGCCGTGCAGAGGAACACTCCGCAACATCACGCAAGCCGGATGGAGGAGAGAGGGAACACCAACACCCCAACAGGCTCCAGTCACTTTCCAACACTGGGGGTAGGATGAACAGGGACTCTTGCAAGATGGTAGTCTGCGACCATCCTGCTTTTAGTAGCCGGATATGTGCTCCAGAAAGTTTGATTGCCTTGAACATTTTTTTATTTTTTTATTATTATGTTCCTTATATCCCTTAACAGGGCTTAAAGTGCTTTTTAGTTGTGCGACTCGGTCCTAGTGAACATCTGCGTATCATTTGTGCAACCCAAAGCTTTTACCATACTACACATGTTATAATGATAACTTCTGTGAAATTTACTAACCTATTCCAGCCTAGATAATGTTCCATGCTTAGCTCCACAGATCACGTAATGATTAGCGAACTACTCATAATTGCTTTGATGTAACTGATATGTTACGTTTATCGAGAATGTTAAATATTGCTTGACCTCTTATCTATAAAAAATGTGCATTTATTGTGAAATCCACGACATTGTTCTATTATGTCTGTTATTGCATAGCTTGAATTCACTGTCGTGGCATTACAAGCTTGTTGTTCATCTTGGCACGTCAAAAATAAAGATTGACAAAAAAAAATGTCCTCTACCATGCCTAGTAACAGATGACTTCTCTTAGTTATTGTTTCTTGGGGTAATTATGACATACCATGTAATGCTCCTATTGATTCAGGAGCAGTCGAGAACTTCATAGATAAGGAAGAGATCCACACCTTTGACCGTTGAGGCGATAGATGGCGGACCTCTTCAGACGCCCATTATAACCCATGAGACCTTTCCATTATCTTTGTCTATTGGGGCTTTACATAAAGAGGAATTGGTTCTTCAAGTTACCCCTACCCCTTTCCCCCACTTTTCTTGGTTTTCCTTGGTTGGTAAAGCATAATCCTGTCCAGTGGCGTACACACAATCCATGGGGCCCTGATGCAAACTGATCCATACCCCCTCCCCCCGACAGACACACATACAGACACACACACACAGACACATACATACAGGCAGACAGACACATACATACCTACAGAGAACATACATACACACAGACAGACAGAGAGACAGGCATACAGACAGACAGGCATACATACATACAGACAGACAGGCACATACACATACAGACCGACACAAACACATACAGACAGACACATACATAGAGAGACACACAGCCACACACACACAGACAAACACACACATACACAAACAGACACACAGACACATACATGCAGACACACAAACACATACATACAAACAAACACATACCTTTTTGTTGTTTCCTACCTTTTAGGTGCAGGAGGGTGACTTTCCCTGGGGTCCAGTGGTGGCTCAGGCTGGTGGGAGTCAGAGTTCCCACTCTGACTCCCTCTCCTTCCTCCCGCCCGGGCTCTCTCTGATAGCTGGGAGGAGTGACAGGCAGTCACTTCCTCCCAGCTGTGATGTCACTTTAAGAGCACGACCGGGGCCCCCTGGAAATTCATCTCTATTGGGTGGCCCTAACAGCATGGGCCACCTGATGGGCCCCTTGAACTTGCGACCCCGGCGGTTTGCCGTATGGGCCTGGGCTGCAACACATGGCGGCAGGCATCCAGTCGCAGGGGTCCGCAGGGCGGCTGGGCCCCCTGGGGTGACGAGCAAGGTCACAGCTGAGACTGCGGCATGTTCACCACTGATCCTGTAATGGATTGGGTTAAGGGTGAAATATGTGCTTGAGGAAAATGCTGCAAATAGAGATGCCTCTCTATTAAACCTATAGGTAGTATCAATGTACCTACTACCGAACCACTGTCCACAGTGTATTAAAAGTATGCCAAAGAGGTGTTCAATAAAACCAATGCTGAGACATTGCCACCATACAGGCCAGACGACTGTTCTATAGATCTCCCACCTGGTACCATGCCACCCAGAGGTCAGGCATACCCTTTGTCCCACCATGAAATTAGATTAATGGAGGCGTATATCCAAGACCCTCTTGATAAAGGTTTCATACGTAGATCCTCTGCTCCTGCAGGTGCAGGGATTTCTTTGTCTCCAAGAAAGTGGGTGGTCTATGCCCATGTATAGTTTACAGTAATCTCAAAATTACTATAAGAATTGTTTGTCCTATTCTCCGTATCACTGAATTGTTTGATAGTCTAAAAGGGGTCACCAGGTTTGCCAAACTTGAACAGCATAAAAGAGGGCCATGAATGGAAAACCGCATTTAACACAAGTAGTGGGCATCATGAATATCTTGTAATGCCTTTTGGGTTGTGTAATGCTCCTGTGGTTTTTCAAGACCTCACTAATGATGTCTTATGAGAATATATCCATTCTTGTATTCTAGTGTATCTGGGCAATATACTAATGTATCACCTGATATCACCACTCACTACAATCATGTCTACAAAGTGCTCACGACACTTTTACACAATGGCTTATACTACAAATTGGAGAAATGTTTATTTCATCTGAGGTACAATTACTTGGGTTATGTTATATCAGCCAGTGGTTTTAAAATGAATCCTGGTACGCTAGAGGCAGTTTTGCAATGGCCCCGACTTAAGAGACTGAAAGCGACCCAAAAGCTAATTATTACCATAGGTTTATAAAATAATTCTCATCTGTTGTTTCTCCCATCATTAATCTTGCACATGAAGGAGCCAATACCTAATCCTGGCCTCCTGAAGCCATGTCTGCATTTGAACGACTTAAGACCCCTTTTTTTTTACTGCCCCTGTTCTCACTCATCCTGATCCTTCCAAACCCTTTGTTTTGGAGGTAGACACCTCAGAAAAAGGAGTAGGGGCTGTCCTCTATCAAAGGGAGTCACAAGATACTCGTCTTCATCTTTGTGATTTTCTCCATGAAATTGTCTCCTGCATGATATTGGCTACAGATAACTATTAGCTATAATTCTGGCATTACAAGAGTGGAGACATTTAGTTGAAGGGTCTAAGGTACCCATAATTCATCACTGATTATGAAAACGGCTTATATAAGCTAGGTGAAAGATCTCTCATTTAGACAAGCAAGATGGTAATTGATTCTCTCTCATTTTAATATTATCATTACTTAAAGGCCTGGATCCTGTAATACCAAGGCTGACGCCTTATCTAGACAATTTGAAATTGACTCAGACCATGATCAAGAACTCACTTCCATTATACCACCGGAACGTATTGTGGCTATTACCAATGGACAAAGTTCTGTTCTGTCTTATCATCCCCACACATGGGGCAGAAGAGAGGGCTAACCAGTCTCTAGACACCTTCTTACAATGTTTTATTTCTCATATTCAATTTAATTGGTCTGATCTGCTCACATGTGCTGAATTCGCCAACAATAATACACAGACGACTTTTGACGACACAGTCCATACTTTATTACCTCTGGTAGACGTGCCTCTGTACTTCCATCCCAGTTTATTGCTACGGGATTACCTGTTCTTGATCACCATCTTAATAATCTAAAGCAGTGGTTCCCAACCAAGTCCTCAAGTACCCCCTAACAGTCCAGGATTTAGGGACTACCCAGTAGTGTTTAAGGTGTTTTAAAAAAAGGAAAAAAATACTTTAGACACAACGTGGTAATCCTTAAATCCTGAACTGGTAGGGGTACTTGAGGACTGTGTTGGGAACCACTGATCTATATATATATATCAAAATACATGTTGAACTAAATAATATATATATCTATATATATATACCTATATATAAATAAAAATAATTTAAATAAATTATATACATCTATATATATATGTGTACAGTGGCGTACATACCAGGGTCGCAGGGGTCACGGTTGCGACCGGGCCCGGCCCACCAGGGGGCCCGGCCGCCCCTGCGACCCAGTATGTAGCCACAGGGCCAGCCTCTTCCCCTGGGGGGCCCAGGAGCCGACCACCCCATGGCCCCCCGAGGCTGGCCCTGCTGACACCCGGCAGGCGGGTGGCCGGTCGGGCAGGCGGGCGCGCGAGGGAGCACTCAGGGCTTCCTCTTCAGCTCCCTCGCGCACCGCACTGATACCGTGCAAGGTAGCTGAAGAGGAAGCACTGAGTGCTCCCTCGCGCGCGCGCCTGCCCGACCGGCCACCCGCCCAGGAGCCCAGCAACAGCACCACTGGACTCCAGGGAATCCCCCCAGCACTCCAAAAGGTAAGGAGGCTGGGGGGATTACATTAAAAAAAAAACGAGTGTTAGTGTGTGTGTGTGTGTGTGTGTGTGTGAGTGTTAGAGTGTTAGTGTGTGTGTTAGAGTGTGTGAGTGTGTGTGTGTGTTAGAGTGAGTGTGTTAGAGTGAGTGTTAGAGTGTGTGTGTTAGAGTGTGTGTGTTAGAGTGTGTGTGTGTGTTAGAGTGTGTGTGTGTTAGTGTGTTAGAGTGAGTGTGAGTGTTAGAGTGTGAGTGTTAGAATGTGTGTGAGTGTTAGAGTGTGTGTGTGTGTTAGAGTGTGTGTGTGAGTGTGAGAGAGTGTGTGTGTGAGTGTGAGAGAGTGTGTGTGTGTGTGTGTGTGTGTTAGAGTGTGTGTGAGTGTTAGAGTGTTAGTGTTAGAGTGTGTGTGTCTGAGTGTTAGAGAGTGTGTGTGTGTGTGTGAGTGTGTGTGTTTAGAGTGTGTGTGTGTGTGAGTGTTGGAGTGTGTGTGTGAGTGTGTGTGTTAGAGTGTGTGTGTGTGAGTGTTAGAGTGTGTGTGTGTGTGAGTGTTAGTGTGTGTGTGTGAGTGTTAGAGTGTGTTAGATTGAGTGTGAGTGTTAGATTGAGTGTGAGTGTGAGTGTTAGAGTGAGTGTTAGAGTGAGTGTTAGAGTGAGTGTTTGTGTGTGTGTCTGCTAGGAATTCTCATTCCTGGGCTACCATACGGTCTGAAAGGCAATGTAACCAATCTGGCAAATTTCAATGTGAAAAAAATGAAAACTGTAGCATGTTTTACACGTGAGACATCGCTGAATACAAATATGTGTATTTTATTGCAGTAAAAGTAAACAGTATTATGACATTGACAGTTAGAATGTCATGTAGAACTAA